TGTATGCTGAAGTTATAACACCAACTTTCCTGTTTCACGTTCTCGCCATAATTTCGTTTCCTCGCCACGGCCAAAACCGTTCGAGATATCAAAAATCCCCTCGCAAACTTTCATCCTCAATGCCTTGACTTCATGCTGACCGAGTTTCGTGCTGCGTGTGTTTGAATTCTCTAGGAGGAAGTATTGCACCATTCCATTGCGAGCGTTTTACGAAAACAAACTCCAATAGCCGACTTCCTGTTGGGTGTGGGTAAAAAGTAAGAGTGTGAGGTATATATGAACGACGAGATCAACATGTGACCGAGTTTCATATTATTACATGCAAGCGTGTTTGATTATGGACCAAGTGTTCGGACCCCGTTCCAGGGGCGCTGTCTAAGCCCCCCTGCCACACCCAGGTACCATCTTTCAGCCCGGCTCTGATGGCTGTGGGATCTGACCTGTGTGCAAAGTTTCAAGAGTTTTCAAACCCGTTAAGGGCCCCAAAAGCCGCTAAGAGTCTCAAAATCATCAAAAAAAAGAATTTTAAAGTTTGATGCGTTGCCACGGCAACAGTATCAAAGATATCAAGAATCCATTCACAGGTCTTCATCTGCTATGTATTTACATATACAGATTAAGTTTGAAGCAAATCGTGTAAAAATAAGAGGGTGATTTCAAAGCATTTTGAAAGTGACACACTTCCTGCTGCCAGTTGGTGGCGCTATAACTTTGACTCACAATATTCACATCCATGTGATCGTCCTCTTACAGCAAACACACTGCTGAAGTTTCATCAAGATCAGTTAATGTATGCTGAAGTTATGACACACTTCCTGTTTCACGATTCTCGCCATAAGTTCGTTTCCTCGCCACGGCCAAACCGTTCGAGATATCAAAAATCCCCTCGCAAACTTTCATCCTCAATGCCTTGACTTCATGCTGACCGAGTTTCGTGCCGTGTGTTTGAATTCTCTAGGAGGAGTATTGCACATTCCATTGCGAGCGTTTTACAAACAAACCTCAATAGCCGACTTCCTGTTGGGCTGGGGTAAAAAGTAAGAGTGTGAGGTATATATGAACGATGAGATCAACATGTGTACCGAGTTTCATATTATTACATGCAAGCGTGTTTGAGTTATGGACCAAGTGTTCGGACCCCGTTCCAGGGGGCGCTGTCTAGCCCCCCTGCCACACCCAGGTACCATCTTCAGCCCGGCTCTGATGGCTGTGGGATCTGACCTGTGTGCAAAGTTTCAAGAGTTTTCAAACCCGTTAAGGGCCCCAAAAGCCGCTAAGAGTCTCAAAATCATCAAAAAAAAAGAATTTTAAAGTTTGATGCGTTGCCACGGCAACAGTATCAAAGATATCAAGAATCCATTCACAGGTCTTCATCTGCTATGTATTTACATTATACAGATTAAGTTTGAAGCAAATCGGGTAAAAATAAGAGGGTGATTTCAAAGCATTTTGAAAGTGACACACTTCCTGCTGCCAGTTGGTGGCGCTATAACTTTGACTCACAATATTCACATCCATGTGATCGTCCTCTTACAGCAAACAAACTGCTGAAGTTTCATCAAGATCAGTTAATGTATGCTGAAGTTCTGACACACTTCCTGTTTCACGATTCTCGCCATAATTTCGTTTCCTCGCCACGGCCAAACCGTTCGAGATATCAAAAATCCCCTCGCAAACTTTCATCCTCAATGCCTTGACTTCATGCTGACCGAGTTTCGTGCCGTGTGTTTGAATTCTCTAGGAGGAGTACTTCAAATTCCATTGCGAGTGTTTTATGAACAACCCTAAATAACCGACTTCCTGTTGGGCTGGGGTAAAAAGTAATAGTTTGAGGTATATATGAACGATGAGATCAACATGTGTACCGAGTTTCATATTATTACATGCAAGCGTGTTTGAGTTATGGACCAAGTTTTCGGACCCCGTTCCAGGGGGCGCTGTCTAGCCCCCCTGCCACGCCCGGGTACCATCTTCAGCCCAGCCCTGATGGCCGCGGATTCTGACCCGTGTGCAAAGTTTCAAGAGTTTTTGAGCATGTTAAGGGCCCCAAAAGTGCCCAAATAGTCGTATAAATAATAATAATAAATATAGCTGCGAGCAGCGATGAAGGGCCCAAGCCGGTGGCACCGCAACCCCGGTTCCTTAGTTACCTAAAAGCACCAGGGTGGCCATGCCACTGGCTTTGGCCCTTCATCGCGGATCACAGCTATATATATATATATATATATATATATATATATGTATATATACATATATATATGAAGCCGGTGGCACCGCCACCCTGGTGCCTTTAGGTTTATTGTGCACGACATGCAAAATGTAACCCTGCTTTGACTGATGCAAGCTCTACAGCACAGTTTATAGTAAGAAAGAATATAGTAAGAAAGAAAAGTAAGCTGTTACTCTGAGATGGTTTGGGAAACAAACATTCATCATGTCGCATTGGTTTTAGTTACTTGTCCTCGAACAGAGCCCTAATCTGTTTATATTTCAGTTACACATTCTACATTGATTAAAAAAGAAAAATCAAATGTGTTTTTAATTCATACAGAAATAAAATATTTATAATTCAGCTGAGAATAAAGTTAGTTCAAATTTTAAGAAAAACAAATATATGATCTGAAATATAGCACATTCATTTTTAAATTCATTCAGGTTTCAATTACCAAAAATACAATCTTAATTTAATTTAAAGCAAATAATAAATCTAAAATATATGGTTATATGCATATTTTGTAAAAAAAGAAAGAAAGATATATATATCCAAAAACACAAGGCCTTAAACTTTAACAAGGGTGCAACTCTTATCACTACAACAAACATAGTCACACACACAAGTCAAGTCACTTACATTTTAGATGCAATATTGACTTTTTAGATGCAATATTGACTTTTTTCTGTTTCAGCAGAGAAAATAGTTAAACAAAGATCACAGCGACCCATCGCGCATCTCAAAGCAATGTGTTTTCTCATTACTGAATGATTCAGCATTTTGAATCCATGACTCGTTCATTAAGACGGTCATCTGGCGACACCTTATGGTGATTTAGGGTTATGTTTAAAAGTATCGTTCTTTACAGCGATTTTTAATTGACTCCTGTTAAACCAATCTCGTAACATTATTGTGTAACCGATTTAATTTGATCAGCCTTACCTAGGGTAACAGCCCTATAGTGTCTTATTATTCTAAATTATTGAATTTATTGATCAAATTTACTAATGAAAAATGAAGCATACATTTATTAAGACTAGGCTGCCCTGCAGATATTAGGCTACAATATGCAGATTTAAATATACCATTTATCAAATAATCTGTTTATTTTTAGGTTACACATTACATTGTTTAAAAAATAAAAATCAAATGTGACCCGCTCTGGCGAAATGAGTCGGAAGTTGCAACCTTCCATTTTAAGATATGGGCCGATTATGTGGAAAAACCATGAAATAACAAAAAAAAAAAAAAAAAAAAAAAAATTTTTTTTTGCTAATTTCAAAGAACAGACATTCAAAAATAATCTCACAGGGTTTCGTAGTCGAGATAATTGAGTAAAGGTATTTAAATAACGATTAAAGTTGTCAAAGCTTTAAATTCGCTGAAATAAACATTGCTCTTCTCAACTCCC